CCCTTCAAGCCCTTCGCATGGATGACAGCCCCTCCAACACAAACCAGATAGTCCAAGTCATGTTAGATGAAAGAGCTGCATCACTAGGTTCATCTCCTGGATCGAGCCAACCAGGACAGCAGCAGATTCCATGAAAGAGGACACATCCCCTAGAGATCAGAAGAGAACAGGTGGAGCTCCAGGCACAGCTGATGCTGGGCACACCTGAGCTTGCCTTCTTCCCTCTTTACTGGTCCCTCCCTGCAGCCCTCAGACCCTGCTTGTTCCCTTCTCCTTCTCCCCAGCTTATCCCCCTGCTTTCATTGCCATTAATAAACATTGCAACTTCTTCACCTTATTTGTATCTTTGTGGAGCTGAAGTGGAGCAAAACCTGAGCCCTGGAGCACACAGGCCAGGGCTTTTCTGCCATTCTTTTCGGTGCTGCATTTTGTGCACGAGGCAGATCATGCTGGAAAGATCCCTGCCCTGAAGGTCTGGTTTCACAACATTGTGGACCTAAGGGTCTTGCTGAGCACCCTGAAGGTCAGCAGTCGAAGACCCTGGATTTTAGAAGAGTCAACTCCAGTATTTTCTGAATCTGGCTGTGAGGGATTCCGTGGCAAGCATCCACTGAGGGCAAAGGAGCTTGGAATACTGGAAGTTATTCAAGAAAGCACAGCAGTGGTCCTTCCCTACGAAGGGAGAGGAAGAGGCAGAACCAGAGAGCACCCTGATTTACAGTGAGCTTTGGGTGTTCTAAAAATGAAGCCAATGAAGCAGCAGTTCAGGGGGCTGACACACAACTGTCCCACTGTATGGAGCACTGTCAGGCAGTGCTGGCATCCTGGCTGCACTTCTGGTCCCCACAGCTGAGGAATCGCAGCTCCTGCCTCATACACAGCCAGAAACCCAACCAAGGGAGACCAGAGCGAGGATACCCTTCCAGCCTCTCTTGGGCATGGCTGCAAAAGAGCTGCTGCTTCTTTCTCCTGTTTGGGGTTTGCTGGTACCAGAGCCAGAGCCAGGTCGTGCTCTATTTTCCAAAGACTGTTCAGAGCAGGCATGAAAAGTGCTCCATGAACAGTGGAGAGTCCTGGGAGGTGCTTCCAAGAGCATCTAACCCAAATCTACCCTTTTGCAGTTTAAATAGGTGGTCTTCTCCAGAAAGAAAGAGCTCCTCTGGCTCTATCAGTGCCTTTTCTGCTGCCTTTGGGCTACCTAATGCTGGGATAAGGAACTTGCACCAATTCCAGAGTCTGCAGTGACAATGAAGATGCTGAATTTGAGATTGGTAAGTTGGTATGGTGACTATATAAGGCTAAGCTGGAGTCCTAAAACTCCTTTGATGCTGTGATGTTTGCTCAGCTGTTGAGAACTTGAGTACAATTGTGGTTTTGCTCTCAGCTCTGGGAATCACAGAATTCCTCCAGCAGTTTGTGTTGGGAAGTATTTGAAAGATCCTGTAGTTCCAGTTGCCTGACTATTCTTCCACTAGAATTGGACTAATCCGTCTTTACCTTGTCTCATCCAGATTTTGATCTAATGTGAATATCAGCTGGTTATATTTTGAGAAATAGGAACAGGAGGTTGCCAATGTCCCATCTAAACCCACCCTCTGCCAGTGAGAAGCTATTCCTCCTGTCACTCCAGGCTCTGCCCAAAGGTCCTTTCCAGTTCTCCTGGAGCCCTTTTACGCACTGTCAAGGGCTCTATGGGCTCCCTAGAGCCTTCTCCAGGCTGGACATTCCCAGTTCTCCCAGCCTATCAGTGTAATGCTCCAGTTCTTGGACCATTTCCTGTTCCTTCTTGGCCTCCTCTGGATTTCCTTGAGGTCTTCTCCGTCCATCCCAAAGCCAGCACAGCTTGCACAGAAGCTGCCCTAAGGGAAAAGCAAAGACAAACCTTCTGCTGTTGGAAACACAGAGTTGGGGTAGAGCAGCCTGACCTCCCAGCACTGCTAGAAAACATTTTAGCTGAGGAAGGAGTTTTGTTTCACTGGAGACAGCAGCTCCCCCTTTTGGCTTTAAACATAACCAAAGGCAGTCACTGATTAGAGGCTGAAAAAAATGATGTGTTCTAGTCCTGCCCACCTCTCCCTCGGGTAACTGACAGACTGCCGAGTTCAGACAACTTTTCTTAATGAGACAGATTTTTTTCATAATCATGCCATCAGAGCACAAACAGGGATAAAGCACTTTTATTTACATTTACTCAGTTTGTAAAACCATGTGTACATTGCCATCATTTAAAGTGCAAGCTACGTCTTCTGAATAAACTGAAGGCATAATAGGTGCTACGTAAGATAAAATACTGCCACCAGTAGTTATACAACTAACTACAAATGCCAGTAGCAAAGTTCAAACTCTGACCAGCTTAGTGTGTTACTTCCTCTTGTATATTACCAGCCAAAAACATATTCCATTGCTTTAGATACAATACTTTCATCTTTCCTAGGAGTTTGTCTGTCAGAAACCACCTAGAAGGCGGGGAGAAAAGCAAGAAAAGAAAATACAGAGAATTAGTCAACATGTAGTTAATACTTTTTACACTATTTATTTCTTCTTTTCCTAAATGGTACTATATTTTGATTAAATACATTTGAAATATCTTCAAAACAAGCCCTCAATCCCTGGAAAAGTGACAAGTCATTAACTTAGTAGTTTATATTATTATTTTAGAGACTGAACAGACTGAGCTTGTACTTGAACCACATTATTTAAGAACTGACTGCAAAAGATAAAGGTCACATTGAAGTTAATGTCTGCACAGACTCCTAGAGCTAAGGGGAGACAACACAAAAGTACATGTTTCTGTTTCCCTTAAAATACCTGATAGTCACTAGTGGAAGCCTTATATGCTGTTGCAAGAGGTCTCATGGTAGATATCCTTGCAGTATTATTTGCAGGTTGTGTTGGTGTGCCAGCAGGTTTTGTAGGTGGGGTGAAAATCGAAGATGTTGAGAATGTAGAGCTTCTTTCAAAGTTTTCCATCACACTCTTAAAGAGAGGGTTAATATAATGTAAACAAATACTGAAAAACAGTGCTCCAACCTTTGCCATCTAAAATTATCTACGATTTGAATTTTTTTGATAAAATGTATTTGGATCCCAAAAGATAAAAGGTGTGTCAGTACAGAACATACAGATGCACATGACCACCAAGCATTTTCCTTACTGCAATCATTTACATTTTGAATTATGCCATTGCAAAGTATTGGAAGGTTAGAATCTGTTTGCTGTCTGTACTAAATGTCAACCAAGTTTGAAACAATGTAGAGAATAAAATACAATAGGAAATGCAATCAAACTTCAAGGCTCCATTTCATAAGCTTATGTTTAGAAAGGAATGCGTGTAGAATGGAAGAGGTAGGAGGTAACTTGATGGGAAGCACAAGTTCCACAACAAACTAGAGAAAACAAGATGGTCAATAACAACCAGCCTGGGGACATGTGATTTGGTGCATTTACACTCAGTGCAGCATAGGATTCAACCAGCCTAAAGATAGCAGAAATTCAGCAGCACATTTGATAGAAGAGCACTTTCCAAAATAAACAATAGGATTGGTGTACATGGTGGGTGTGCAGCTGACTCTGCTTAGCTTCACGGAACTGATTAATGGAACCCATGGAACTAAGTAATACTTTTAAATCAGAAGCCTAACTACTGATGTCAAGTCCATCATATCTAGTTTTCAATCGCAGGAAAGTCTGACCAAAACCAATCCTTCAATGGATTAGTCTCCTGAAATCTTTTGCCTCCAAAAATACAAATTAATGACTTACGGGTTTATTTATTGTTAAATGAAAGTGAATACTATCCACAAAAGATATAATAAGAATTCAAAAGCAATGAAGATCAGATGCCTGGCAATTAAATGTCTTAGATCATTACTCCTAGAACTTCAGCTCACAGGCAATTCATTGATTGATACAAACTGGACACAAGAGTAAACAGGCATGGACAGACCACCAGCAGAAGCTCTTAGAGAAAAGGACCATAGAAGTAGTTGTTTCTGAATTTTATTGATTCTAAGAAATGTTTCAGACTGCTAAAAGCTCAATAATTGCATGTTCAGTTTCTCAGGCTGCCTTCTCAGAATGGTTTACAGTGGAAATGTATCATATATCCTTTAAAGGGGACAAAAAAAAGAAAAATCTGTGTACTATAGAAAAATGACTGTTATTTGCTTAAGCTAATGTACAGTACTCAGTGCAAAGGGCTGCAAGTATTAAAGATCAAGATATTGCCAATACCTAGACAACTAATAGCTCATGTTAATATTAAGACTACAAGACAACCATGTGTATCCTCAACTCCTACTTACAAAAGAGTGACATGTTTTTATAGAGGCAGGTGGGAGAACAGGATTAGGATTTTCTTGCTAACAAATTTTCAGTCCAAGTACTAAGATAAATCCAAGAGCCAGAAACATAGTCACATAAAAAATAGGTACAATTAGGAGTAGCAACAGTCCTAATTTGCCATTAGGTATTTATTGCAGGCCCTAAATGTCACAAATTCCATTCAGGAAACTTATCTCAATTGTGTCTTATATTACGGTTTCACTTCCTGTCTCGTACAGCAATTGTAATTTCGTGTGCGTTGTATTTCCAAAGAGCACAGAGATTTATCATAAAGATCTTTCTCAGCAGGAAACGTTGATAAATACTTAAGAAAAAACTTATGTAAATGTGTAACAGACTACATCTATACAGATAAACTACCTACAATTTGCAGTTCCAAAAGAAAAAAAATTAAAGAAGTCAGGGAAAATAAAAAGAAGAGTGCCTTTGAACTAAAAGCAACTATTAACTTACTTTATCTATACAAGGCTTGACACCTATCATGATAGATTCACCAAAAATTCTTCCATCTTTGCTTAAGGCTTTCCGGGCTTGAAGCTTAGACTGATATCGAATATGCATCCAGTTTCCTGTGTTGGACATCTGAATGAGATTAAGTGAAAATTGTGAAATGTAGTTTTTTACATGCTTCATTCACAAAGTTTGAGACTTATGTTAGAAAACAAAGACATACCACATGCTTTAGTATGTTTCCATACTGAGCAAACTGTAGTAGAATATAGGAAGCTGATGCTTGAGGAAATCTGAAAGACAGAAAGAAGCACTCAAAAAATTATGAGTAGTTTAAGAATTCAGGTGTCAAGCATTTACAGAAATCCAGAAGAGACCACTGTAATATGACTTGAGAAATACCATCTTCTAGACACTTTACCACACACCCAAACAGCAGAATGGTGCCTGTCTAACTAGAAAAAATAATGTGTAGCTCAATTTAAGATGCCTCACTGAAATGTATGTGTTTGCTTGCTTTAACCATAGCTGTATTTGCAGCACACACCAATGCCAGACAACATCAATGCCCAAATATTTTTCTTGTACGCTGTAAAGACTTCACCCAGGTTTTTCTGATACTTTGGAAATCAACTTACCCAAATACAGTTACCCATGTGTCATCAAGTTGATCTTCTGAAGTAAGGGAATCACCTTGAGTATAAAAAGGATCTAGCTGAGCAGGAGATAGAGTGGTCTTCTTAGGCTGCCCAATACTTGCGGGACTGAACATGCTTGAAGCTGTTAAATTAAAATGGTATTCTTGAACTGTCACCCTCTTCTTTTAAAAGTTTTAAAACTCGTTTAAAAAAATTGAGTGACATTGAACAAATTTATTTTGCAAGACGGAGTTTTATAATAAAAGAATGAATTCAGGGACAAGCATTTCACTTGCATGTGGAAGAGTTTCATGGGGATTTACTCACAGACAGAAAAAGTAAGTCAATCATAACTTCACATCTGCAAGCACACTAGTAAGTTTTTGTGACGAGCAGCCTAGTGTTCTCTTTGACTTCAAAACACCAACAGCTAATACAATTGCCAAATAGGAACAGGCCAACAGAAGAATGCTTAGCAAGAAGCCACTGGTTCATACACAAGATATCAAACCTTGCAAAGATGGAAGGCAATCCATCAATCTCAGCTTCTTCATTCAATTACAACCACCTCTGTGCTCAGTTGAAAACCACATTTGGAACAAGGAACAAGAAAAGCGGCTTGAAACTCAGTCTCAGAATGAATAATTATTTCCTACTTATACCGATGTACCTTTTGAAAAGCTAACAAATACACAACCTCTTCATAAATTAGCAAGGAACTGATGTAGCTTGAACAGTCACAATGTTTCTGTATTAAAAAAGCAGTAAGAAAAGAGAATAGAAATTTTGACAGGACATCTACCTGCTCCTGGAGTTGATGGCAAAACTCCAACTGATGGGCTCAGTGATAAAGTAAAGCTGGCCTGCATTAATATACAGAAAGTAACAAATCATTCTTATAGGTATAATGCTCAGATCAAGAGAGACAATTTTCAAGTGGTTTAAACATTCAGGTAATAATATTAACTGTTTGCATTAAGTCATTCCTAACTTTTAAGAGTAAGAACAGGTATTTGCATGCACATTTAACAAAAGATTACCAAGAGCTATTAATGAAGAAAAGTTATTTGACAATGTATTTGACATATACCTTTGAAACAAAGTAGCTTTAAATACCAATACTCAGAAACCCTTTCGTTTACCTTCTCAAAATAGTCATGTCACTATTGCTGCACTGTAATAATTCACACGTTCATGTGCATCCTGATGGGAAGGATATTAGTATCCTAAGTTTATCAGCATTTTCACTGCCTTAAGGGTTGAGAAATCATGGAAACATAACCTTCCCTTGCATGGAGACTATTACTAGACTTACTTTCCTGCTCAACTATTTAGTGCATAGAAGGAAAGTGTACTTTGAGTTTTAGATGGTAGTAGTTGTTTTCTTTTTAACATAGGATTTCAACACCCAAAACAATTTTAGTCTACTTTAAGTCTGAATCATGGCATTTCTTAGATACAAGGTCAAACAGCCTGGACTACCAGTAGACCTAGCAACGTGTGTTCTGATAGCTGCTCAACATTTTTTGAAATTTAATATCCAGTCCTTTAAGACACCATAGGATTCTGTCCTTCACAGAGAACCTCAGTTTTCAGAATAAACTTTTCAGAAGGCAACACTCAATAGAAAGACTGCTCATTCAGTTTAAAGTGTTCTCCTTGCATCAAAAGAGTTCAGTGAAAAAGGACCTAGTAATGCTTGATTAGTCAGTTAAGCAGCAGAGCTTATTATAAAATTTACCTCAGAAATTTGAGTGTTCCTCTTTCAAAATTAAGCCCAACTGTCTACCTAAACTTAGATTACATATTTTACTCAGAAGGAAATTCCTTCTGTTTCCATAAGCACCTCTATTGTCTTCAAAAAGATAGTCACAGAAACCCAGAATTATTAAGGTTGGAAAAGATCCCCAAGATCATTGAGTCCAACCATTAACCTAACACTGCCATCTTGACCACTAAACCATGTCCACACATTTTTGAACACTTTCAAGGATGGCGATTCTAACACTTCCCTGGGTGGCCTGTTCCAATGCCTGACCACCCTTTCAGTGAAAAGATTTTTCCTGATATCCAATCTAAACTTCTTCAGAGGCCATTTCCTTTTGTCCTCTCACTTGTTACCTGGGAGAAGAGACCAACATCCACCTTGCTACAACCTCCTTTAAAATTGTGGAAGGGTTCTTCTGGCAATCAGCTGCCAAATAAACTTAGAAGAAAGTGAAAAGCTGACAAACAAAGCTGAATTTATATGTACGAAGTATAACTGAGGCATCACTTGCATTTTTCATTTCCTACTGAATTGAAAACTGGCAATAACAGGAATTTGCTTCATGACCACAGCTCTTGTTTAAACAGGAACAGGCACAACGAACAACCCAGACTAAGCAACGGCATGATCTGTAGGGTCATCACTCATTTTGCTACAGCAGTTTATGCAACTAAGTTTGAGAATTCACTGAGGCACATCTTCTGCTAAGAACAGGCCAGTGCCAAAGACACTTACTGTTCTTCTTGAGGACAGAGGTGTTGATCCAAGCCCAGGACTAGATAACTCATCATATATGCTTCTAACTGGTGGAGCACCACCTTTATCCTTATGCGAAGGGACTACTGGTTGTGGGGGAGACCCTCCTGCAATTCAAAGGAACAAAAGAAGAGCATGACAAAACCTGTCATTTTGCTTTGGTGCTACTTGTTCTGGAAACTTCAATAATAAATTCTGCCATGCTCTCATGCTGGTTGCTGTTGAGACTGTTGATTGTTTCACTGGAGGTTTGCAGAGCCATCTGTCCTACCAAATGTTCAAGTTTGAATGTTCTAGGTAGGAGCATCACAGGTGTTCCAAGCAGCAGCCTATTTATAACTTTCAGACCTCTTATTAATATTCACTGTTTAAATGTTCTTTCTCTGAAGTTCTGAGCATGGCTGTATCTTTCAATTTTAAGCCAGGCTTAGAAATCTATTTTAATTGTTTCAGAGACTAACTTGCCTATAGTAGAGACGCAAAAGCAAGATTTTTAAAAATTGAAATATCCTATGTGTTAAAGAGCCATACCAAAAGCACAGAGACATTGCACATTACTGTCACATTCCCACTGTCCAAATTCCTTGGCTTCTCATCTAATTTCATATTAAATAAAAATGTAAGCTTTGAGAGCAGGGACTAGCTTGCATATAGACAGGAGGAAGTTAAACCAGCTGCCCTCTCATTTTGTAAACTTTGGAACTTCCAGTATAACAGAGAATTAAACTTCTTGAAGGAACTTGACGTATCTTATCCCTTTGTGTGGATTTACGCCAGGGTAAAAAAAAAAAAAAGTAGTTTGCATCAAGTTTTCACTTGCAAAACATTTGGAAACCAAGCTTTTTCCAGTGCTAAATTCTGAGCTTCAAGACTCCACTCTGTACTGTTTAACACATACAAGAACTGCTATTGTTGCATGGAATAACGTGCATTATGTAAAGCACTCTCCCATCAAGGTCTGCAGTTTAAGTGATGTACTTGATCTCTCCCTTTGGGAAGTCTGTGTTAGTATCTTACTGGCTCCCCTTTTCCTAAAATTGATACTCTGAGGCTATAATAAACACTTCAAAAAACAATTTGGTGAAATTCATGTGATTACTTTAAATTTCATAAGTATCTGTTTTCAGCATCAATGTATGTGTACCTGACATGTAAAGAGTCACATAAACTGATTCTATATTAGGAGAGGTTTATTACCTTCCCTGTAAAACAAACTTTTCTTGATGCCAAAACTGCCACATTTAGAACATTTATTATAATTCAATACACTGAGTTCACCACTTAATCAGTGTAGTTTGCTAACAGAAAGATATAAAACTATACGGATTCAAGTCTGCAACAGTCATGTAGAACAATGAGATAAACCAATTTTTTGCTTTCAGGACAATTTTCCAACATTTAACGAATTCTGACCTGCAAGTAGTGGAGACCTTGTTTCCATGACACCAACTGAAGGGCCATATAAAGCACGTGGCTGTGGAGTCACTGGTGCAGGTAAGTCACCCATCAAAAACCCAGGGAGAAATTGAGCACTAGTTCCTTGTTTTGGAGATGTCGGGGAGCCAAGAGTCATTGGTTCAGCTCCTGAAAACAAAATTTTAAAATATGAACAAGACAAGTGAATGCTTTTTCTATTGTGGGCTCTATTAAAGAAACATAGAAGACACAGGAAGTGATTAAGATCACAGAATCCCAGAACCATTAGGGTTGGAAGGGACCCCTGGAGATCATCTACTCCAACCCTCTGCCAAGGCAGTGTCACCCAGAGCAGGTACTCAGAAACGTCTCCAGGTGAGTCTGGAATGTCTCCAGAAAGGGAGACTCCACCGGGCAGCCTGTTCCAGTGCTCGGCCAGCCTCAGTGTAAAGACGTTCTTCCTCACGCCTGAGGTAGAATTCCTTATTGTTTTGGTTTATGGCCATTACTCCTCGCCCTGTCGCTGGGCACCACCGGCACCCGCCTCTGAGATATTTGTATGGACTGATGAGATCAAAGGCGGTTTTACAGGTAAGCCGAGTTTATCACGGTTTTTCGCAATTACAAGTGGCAGCCGATCGATTTAACCCCGCTCCCCTTTCGCGTCAGCCCGGCGCCGTCTCCCGCTCCAGCTCCGCAGCATCCCCGGCCCCACTCCCCTCACAGGAGCGCCCACAAAGCCGGGGAGCGCCGGGCCCGGCTCACCTGCGGGCAGCAGCTCCACGGCGAAGGCGGCCATGTCGGCCCGGATGGCGGGAAAGAGGCGGCGGCGGCGGCGGCTCCGCCTGGCACTTTCAAACGGGACGGAGCTTCCTGCCGCCGTCACTTCCGACCCGGCCCGTGACATGTTGGCGCGGGGCGGGGCGGGCGGAGCCCCGTCGGGGCGGGAGGGTGTCGCGGCCTGGCGTGGGCTTGTGCCGGCCGGGCCCCTCATGGCTCCTTGGCAAACGGTCCCTGAGGGAGGGGCGGGTCGCCAGCAGCCGAGGGAACCGCGGCCAGCGTTACCGGGGCTGTCGCGGGCTGCTCCCGCGGGCGGACAGCTCGGAGCGGCCTCCCGGGGAAAGGTGCGGTCGGTGCCCGGGCCGCCGGGGCGCGGGCGGGAGCTGCTCCCCCGCCGCCCACACGGGGCCGGTGCCCGCCGACAACGCCCACATGCAGCGCGGCTGCCTGATCCCGCATTAACGTTTAGCATGGAATCATGGAAGCATGGAATCGTAGAGCTCATCCAGCTCCACCCCCTGCCATGGGCAGAAACGCTTTCCACTATCCCAGTTAGCCCTGTCCAGTGTGGCCCTGGACACTTCCAGGGATGGAGCAGCCATAGCTGCTCTGGGCAGGCTGTGCCCGGACCTCCCTCAGTGTAAATAATCTAATCTCAACCTCCTCCTTCTTTTTGAATCCATTCCCATCCCTTGTCCTGTCACTAATGTTCTTGAGTAATTCATACTGAGAACAAGAGAAGCCGTGGTTCAAACACAGTGATGTGCTACTGTGCAAATTGCTGGCACAAGGACAGAACGCCAATCTTGAAACCAAACCTTTTAAATCACTTTAGCACACAATTCATCCAAACACAGCGGTCTCTTTATTTTGTTGCATATTAATATATCAAATCATTAAGAGATGGCATGAATACCACAAAATACTATTAAAATCTTATAGATTTTTTAAAAAAGCATATTAAGAGAGTAATTTCAGCCTGGGATCTCTCAGGAGGATCAAAATTACATACCCTATGATGTCTGTTCTTTACACATGATGTGGAGTGGAGTGAGGGGAGAGCATGTGAGGACCAGATGTGAAGAAAAGACGGTAGCATGAGCAGAGACAGATCAGTATGAACATTTTTTGTATCTCTACTGAAATGATGTACAGGAAAAAAACCAAAAACGCTAGTTCCAAGACTGGACTCATCATATTAGTGCACTTCAAAACACTACTAGATGAGAAACAATAGGAATATACAGAGCATTAATGCATGCTGTGCATTTTGAGCATCCTCAAAAGACCATAGTTTTAATTTAAAAAAATTAATGGCTGGCTCTCCCACAAAATTCAATAATATCATCTACAGCTGCAATATAATTTTAAAATCCAGTATCAAGGTACTTCATTATATGAACATTTTATTATCCCTGTTTTACAACCATCTAGGAATGCACAGATTTGGAAAGAAAGAAACTTACCTCAGTTATTTTACTTCCCTTCTCTATTGCCTGCATTTTCTGATAGTTCAGAAAGTAAACAATCATTCTATTGTTTTCTAATATTTCAAGGTAAACTGAGCTGTATCTTTTATTAGTGCTCTGGTTTTAGGCAAAACTTCTCTGAAGTCAGTACAACACCATTTGGCCTTTTGATGACATTCTGGAAAAAACATGGTCAAAGGAGGGTAAGAAAAAAAAATACATAAAGACTTGAAAATGCACTTGTGAAAGGGGATTTCAAAATGACAGGACAAAGAACATCCAACACCTATTCCTGTATAGTCAAACCAGATTGTTTTGCTTTTCCCTTTGGATCAGTCATGATTGTTTATGCTTCCATTTGCCTTTAAAATCTGTTCTTGGTACTTGTGAAGCTGCTCCATGAAGCCAGGATTTGGACAAGCTGCAGGCCTTGCATTTTTCACCAAGGAAAAGGCTCTGGCAAAGCTCAGTCTTTCTGAATTCATTAGAAAACCAATGACTACAGCTGCTGCACGGGAGACTCCTGCATTGCAGTGAACCAGCACCACACCATCCTCCAAGAAAGAAATGAAACGTAAGTTAGGTACATTACATTCATTAGGTACATTAAAAGTGTAAGAAACTACATAAGTCTTGTAAGACTTATTAAAAGGCTCCTTGTTGAGCTCGAAGCAAATATTTATACATATAAGTAAATCCAAACAAAGATATAAGCATGATATAAGCATGAAATTAAGATTTTTTTCTACCCCAAAATGCTTTATTATTACCAAATTCCTCAAACTTAATTCATACCCGAGAACTAAAACACATCCTCTGTCTTTCTTCCTGAGGCTTTACAGCAGCCTGTTAATGTAAAGAACAAATCATAGACAACTGGGATACTAAAGTATCTGATCTAATTGAGTGACAATTTTGAAATAGATTTTATTTTCAATATGGAAAGGAATTTGAAAGTATCTTGTTAAAGGTTAAAAACATAACAAAGCAGCAAACAGCTGGGCACAGAGGCAGATTTTAGAATGTCTTGTAGTCCCAGTTGCATGTTTCTTGTGTACGCTGCAGGGAAGATTCTGGGTAAAAGGGATCATGCACAGGAAAATTAGAAAAGACATTGTGTGATTTGCAACAGATCTCTCCCTTCCCATTACACCACTGGTACATCTACGGACCCTTAATTGGGAACTAGGGTGCAAAATCCAAAACTACTCAACTTTCCATAAACTCACAAATGCTTCTTCTGGGGTTTGAATTCGGGCTCACCCTAAATTATATATTAAATTAATGGGTTTTATCCTACTTAAACATTTCCCTCACTACATTTGAGACACCTGTATGTCTCTTTTTAACACTGCAAGTTTTGTTAAGAAATAACAAGCCCAAATCAACGCAAAGACAGCTAGACAATCTAGCATGTCTTAAGCAATGTTTGCAAAGCCCCGGCTTTGTGAGGCAGTCATGTTTGTATGTCACACTATGATCTGGAAAAGCCCCTTGGACACAAAAAGAAACCACCAAACCCTCAGCACTTCCATATTCTGAATGAAAATACTGAAACATGACATGATGTGATCAGATACTTGAGGCTCAACAGAACTATTCTAGCCTGTTCTGTCTGCCCTTAACAGGTACAAGTTACTTAATGGCAATTTGACCCAGAGACAAAAAGATCTTCTAAGCATCAGGGTTACTTTCCAGGAACTTAAGAGTTTATGTTACAGATTTAGGAGCTACAATTATCTGGCATTTTAACAGACACACAGACCAGAAAATGGTTCCTGTTCCAAAAATCTTCCAGTGTAAATAACAAGGCAAAGAAGTATGAAATGCAGTATTATTATCCTTGCTGGAGAAATTCCAAGCTGAGACTAGAAGAATGAGGCACAACATTATGACAGAGCTAGGAACCAATCTAAGCTCCCGCATCCCAGCATGGCAAATAATGACACCACCCTTCCTTGCAATGGAAATCACACCTCCTGTGCACTGCCTGCTGGAGATTGCACTCTTAATTATTTTTTATTTTCCTTTGTACTGTTCATGCTTTATTTCCCTTTCACATTTAAGTCTGATGTATCTTTTTAAATAACTGGTTTGTTTTACACTGCCAAAAATTATATAGTGGTATCCATGAATCCTGAAAATTATTGAACATTAATGAATCTGGGCCATAATATTAATCCAACTTTAATACTGAGAATGTTTCTCTTCCCTTGCCAAAGTCCATTGTTCACAATTCATACAAAAATTTGGCATATTATTCTTAACTAGTTTTGTATTAGCTGTGAATGCAGAATAAAAGTAAGAAACAGATGACAAACAGGAAATAAATCTCTATTTACCAAGAACTCCTTGCTCTGATGCTGATAAAAGTTTTCCTGCCCAGAAATGGTCTGTGGACTTGCAAGAATCATGTAAGATTCAAGACCAAGTTGGGTTTTAAAAAATTTTTATGGAGAGAGAAACATCACCTTCCACCAGCAGAAAAGGTGATTATACAATGGTTGTACACAGTGGGCGAAAAGCCTCATCAAGGGAAGAAATTTAAAAGAAGCACAAAGCTTTTTGTGAAGTTAAAGGCTAATGTAATTCCTTATAGATCCATTCTACTTTGCAGTGAAACTGAGGCTTTTCCTTAGGAAAGACAGGTGGACCAATAAGGAGCGATGTTCATGAATAAGCAAAGCTTTTCTCTTTGGAAGCACAAGATTTCAGAAGTTTTATTATTAGATATTAAACATATGAAAAAAGTATCCCTCATTCACAGTATTATGACTTGACATAGATCACTGAACATGTCATGGAAAACCTGCCTGCCAAGTTGGAGCCTAGAAGAAAAGTTGAGCTCTGATCAGTATCAGAATTTGTACCATGCTGTCTAGAGACTTGAGCCATTACAGTTTTAGAAAAGTGAATCCTGTTACAAGTACCCAGCTGGCAATGACTTAGAGAATAGTGCAGGCTTCACTTGCATCCTCAAATTCACATGCTCTCATACTTCCTTCATGGAGTTAGCCATGTTCTAGAAATAATTTCTCATATATCATGCTCTCTCACTAGTGAACATCTCTTCCTCACCCATTTTAGGAGATGAAACAGTAGTGTCTCTGTGGTTACTTAAACAGAAGAGCACTTCATGACACAATTTATCATAAGCTCTTTTAACACTATTTTGACAAAGCAAATAAAGTAATTCAAACCACCTAGAGATCTGTCTATATACCACTATCATGTGCTTTTTGAACTGATTCTGGAGAACTATTCCACCAAATACATTCCTTTCATCCACCTCTTCCACCAGAAAACTATTAATGTTGTGATAAAAGTTTTCCTGTAAACTCCTTAACCTACAAACTAGTAACTGAGATATAAACACCTGAGGCAGAAAGCAGAATTGTGCAGTTGTGAATGGCAACTTTCATTTAGAAATGAACTGGAAACTGTAATTAGAAACCTTGAAAAGGTCATTTAGTGATAATACGTTATCATATAGCTTGTAAATTATAAATGAGAGAAGGAAAGAACACTGTGACACAGAGACAACTGGGGCAAGATCATCTTTTATCCCAATCTACATAAACAATGAATCTGATAGATATGGTAGAATAACACTAAATGTTTGGTTATTGAGTTATAGTTTAGATACCAAA